TAAAAGATGGAAAAAAGATACATGTATCTTAAATCTTTCCTTCACCTTCAGTACCACTAACGATACAACAATTGAAAACAATATCTTCAATATAGAGGATCGAAAAGACAATAAATGAAAGCTTTTGGGAGCTGTGCTTTTTAACGCGTCCCCCTATATTGAACAACTTTTCCTCTACGTCAATGGGTCTGAGATTCAACCATCTGGGTTAATAGTACAATCTAAGATGCCATCTAGCTATATAGAAAATTCAAAATATATATATAAAATAATACAAAACGAACAGTAACCCATTAAATAGAGAAGACAGATTAACTGTTCAACCATATAACTTAGTTTGGATCAATACATTGTTGATCAAGTCAACGATTTTCTTATAACATAGCTTTTTAGGTGTTGATGATTTCAATTGAGATTGTGATTGTGATCAAATCACTGATCCAATTTCTCGGATCAACAACAGATTGGAAATATTGATTATTATAAATGATTTAGGGCTTATAAGGATAAAAAAATTCAACCAGTTTTCATCATAGCATTGACTAAACCATTTTTTTTTAACATAATCTATTACAGGTTGACCCAAACCAAGATGGTGACAGATTCACTGATCCGATATTGAAATCAATGGTCATCACATGGAAGATTTTTGGGTTGGGTTACATAGTGGGTGTTTGTTATGTATGGTTTTGTTATTTTAAGACGAACAGTTGTCGTTTTAGCAAAAATAAACGAATTGTACAAACTATTTTTGTTTAAAATCAAAGTTCTGTCAACCATTGCACTGACAATAGCCCTTTTATCCATATTAAGTATAGTGTGATTTCTCAAAATAAAAAAGTGATTTAGAGGCAACATTCCATTATGGCTTCCATATCTGATGTGAAAAATGGAACTATTGTGTCATCATTATAACATGACTAGCTACACTCTAAAAAGAGTACTTGAATAAATCATGATGCACTCAAATTACTCCTACCATGTTATTCACTTCATGCCCTAAAAACTAACACTCTGTTTGGATGAACTTTTGCTTTTTAATTTTGGCCTGCAAAAACAGTTTTAAGCCCGAAATTGGGGTTTTATATATATATTTTTGAGCTTTGAGCTTTGAAAGCACGGATTTTGAAGCTTATCCAAACACAACCTAATTTAAGAAATAACAAATTTTGAAAAAATGTTGATCAAGAAGGGGAGAAGTTAGGCAGCTGGTTAATCAGTGTGAGCCCAATTTGAAAGATGTATTAGCTGGTTTTTCAAAAGTTTCTGCGATTGGGTGATGAACAATTGAACATGATATATGGCTCTGTGTGGCCATCCCTTATTATCAATCACCAATGTTAGCTTAGTGGGATCTACTATTTGTTATCAAGTCATTACACCGGCTTAGATTCTATTTTACCATTAACATTTTTCTTTTGTAAAGGTAAAGAGGACAATTCATAGTGCTGTGCTTTCAGTAAAACAGTCCATTATCATCCCAAACCAACCTTCCAATTAGTGTTAATGTGGGTGCACCAGCTCTAGTAGAGGGAGCTAAGAAGGGCGTTGTTTGTCACATCCGGTAAGTGATTTTACTCTTGGATGCTGATATATGCTTTAGTGCATCAGTCAGATGCGGCATTGAAAATTGATGAGAAGTGTTTTTACTAAAGAGTCAAGTTACAAGCAAAAACAACAGTGAAAGAGGGAGGGTTCTGTGATAAATTACAGAGAATTCATCCATTTATCATTGGGGACATTTGCATTTGGGGTTTCCTCCTCATCATTGAATCCTCCTCACACTCACCTCAGAGCACTTGCAGCAGTGCATTGAAAACACCTCCCCATAAATGAAAAACATACAAATACGAGAAATGTTTCTAATGTGCAACTTTAACATGTTGTAAGTAGGGGTGTCAATGGTATTAGAAAATTTGATTTTGAATTTGAGATTCGATATAATCGAATGGAATTCAGATATGACCTGATTGATTTGATAAATATCCAAATTCAATCGATTATTTATCTTTTATATAATATATATAATATTTAAATTATATAAACATTTTATATATTTATATATTTTATATAAATTAACTATTTATTTTATATATTTACTAATTACCTAAAATAATTAATTGGTCGAATTTGACCAAATCAAATACTTGGATATTTAACCAAATTCGAATCCGAACATTAATTTTCAATATCTATTAGATATTGCTTGATTTATTTCGAATTCGATCCATTTACACCCCTAGCTATGAGGAGGAAATTTTAACTTGGGCATTTAGGGTGTTCTTCAGTATAAATTGCTTTTCATGTTCCATGTTTCAAAAACAAACCAAAACCATTTGCATTGAAAACAAATTGGTTAAAAAAAAACGTAAGAAAATATGTTCTTAGTTATACCTGTGTTTTTTTTTTTTTTTTAACTGAAACCAAAAACATGTTCTCTTTCTAGTTTAAAGAACATGTTTGCATCTGGTTCTTTATTTTTCATGTTTCACAAATCTTGTATATAATAGATGTACTAAAAAATTGCTTTTGTTTTAAAAACCATCATCTTGGTGGTTTCAAAAATGTGTTTTGTTTTTCTTTTTAAATAAAACCATCTTATTTTTGCTTCTCAAGACAAAAATACTGTTCAAAAATGTTCGGATGAAAACATATTTCTGAATCCAGATTTAAGAACATGTTTTTGGTTTTGGTTTTGAAAACAAAACATACACACACAACGAAGAAAATGTTTCTTGTGTTCTTATTTTAAGAAACAATCTATTTTCAAACAAGATGGTTTTGATTTGTTTTTTGAATCAACAACAAGAAAAACAATTCACGTTGTACATCACCCCCTAAAAACCTTGTGTGTTCTTTATTGGCACTCCTTTTTTCTCTTTTGGCTTGTTGGAGGGAGATTCAAAATTTCAAGAATTTCTCCTGCCTCCCTCCCTTGTACTCTTTGAGTTTTGTCATTTCCTCTTCTCTCTTTTGAATGTATGGGAAGATTCTTTGTCCCACATTGTTTGGGAAGGGAGTTGAATTGGAATATATCTAAAGATTTGCTTTCTCTATGGATAGGGACCCATAGGAGGAAAACACTATACATATTCACATGCATATGGGGGAGGGGTGTTGGGCTCACTTTTCACACGTKCGCATCGAATTGAGTCGGGGTGGGACGGGGACGTGGGTGTGTGTATACGCACACTTCACCGAATTGTTTTGGTTTTGACCGGTTTAAACCGTTTGACTTTTGAATTTCAAAATTTATTTTTTAAATGTTTTCTTTTTCTGTTTTGTGTCTCTTCGAATAGGCAAGACACTTTTGTGTCCATTCGGGTGACTGAGAACACTCTATAAAAGGAGTGTTGGTCGGCCTAGGAACATAGATCATTGCACACAACACAACTTTCTCTCTCTGTCAAGTGTCGAGTTTTTGTGATCATTCTTGGTGGTTTGCGGAGGTCTGGTAAGGTAGTGCATGCCGACCAGTGGCCTGTGGGATATTTTATCTTGGCGACCGATTTTCAATCACCCGACTGTACCATAAGGGGTAAATGCAGTTTTAAGGAGAGTGACCAAGTGGCACGACTCAACCCTCATTCTCTCAACAAGTTCTCAGTTTCACAGTTCTTTAATGCTACAATTTCGCAAGTTCTAGGTTTGGAAAGCGATTACCGATAAGTTTCATTCTGCCTTCTTTACTATTTTTCAACAAATTTTTTGTGTACACGCTCCTTTGTGTGTTCTTTATTTTTGGTTTTGGTCTTTATAGAATGTGGAATTCGATCCCAAGTCTCCACTAAAACAAACCAGCAAACTTACCAACCGATAGTCAATTGGCCGTTTGGCACCTTCAAATAGAAATCATCTTACAAAGCTTCAACCATTGCTGATTTAATTCTAACTTTTGCCAGATGGAAGCCCACCAAACTGAGATTATTTGGACTTCAGAGATTGGAGTCGTTTTCTATGGCCAAGCAGGCGAACCTTCTCTTAAAAAGAAGTAAAATCATTGAGAAAATGCAAAAGCAAAAACCAAAGAAAGCATTCTCAGTTCTTACACGGTTTAGTTGGGCCCCCAAACTGGGCCGGCCGCATATTAAGCAGCACATCACGCGTGGAGGAAAGATGGGCAAAAAGCCGAAAGGTGTTAAATTGTTAGGGATTCACACCACGCGTGGAGGAAAGATGTTTCTGTTTCACTTTTCTATTCGATCTGCTTTGCGAGCTGAAGTGATTTTTGACTCCCCTTAAGCCTTCGTTTTCTTCTAATAAAAACAAAAAAAAAAGCTTTTGCGTGGAGAGTAGAAAACAAAAAAGTGCTTTTCTCAGCGTGATTCCTTTGGAATTTTTATATGAGCTGTGAGTGCGTATAAAGCCTCTCTTGTATTTTTCTTTCTATGGTTGGAACTTGGAATCATGCGGCATGAATAGGGACAAGAGCAGAGCTTCTGGATGGATGGATGAACCAGGCCGGTGGTCACCTTACCACTCTAAATTTCAGAATATGTTCTTCTGAATAAGTTATTCAGAGTAGTTTCATATTATAGTTATAATTTTGGCTTTTTGAAGAGAACAGAGTATACCGGTTTAAACCCTCCCAAATGGGCCCTTTGTCTATATTGGAGTCTACTCCTGGCCCACATTAGACAATACATGACCGGTGATAAACCGTTGGATGTGGGCAATGTGCTAATCTTTCTACAAGCATTACTTCGTTTCTTAAATTAGAAAAACCCAAAGATTTCAGTTCTTGACAAAAATTAAAAAAAAAAAAGGATTTCAATGCTTTAGCTTCAATGGATGGTAATGGTAGTGGTTAAGGTTTGAGATTTGACAGTGAGAGACAATGAAGGAATGAATGACTGATTTAGAGGTCCACTTCCTCATGGACGCATTGGATTCCCCGGCCCATTATATTCTGCAAGAGGCCCACGCCACCTAAGAAGTGACAACTGACAAACATACATATATGTTTCAGAGAGTTGCACCGTGAAGAGTTGCTCGCTGGCTGAATTCAATAGATATTTGTATTCCCACTAAACCAACATACCAGCTCATACATTATATATCTCAAATTATAAGGTGTTAAACGGAATTAAAAGAAAAGGAAACTACAACGCACGGTGGGGCCCAGGTACCGATTCTCGCTCGCTATAAGAAGTAGAAAATGTAGAATGGAGGGAGCAGCAGCTCTAGTGCTCTACCCGGAAAACAGCCAGCAGTCGGACTGTTGGAGAAATAATTTCAGGAAAATTCTCCGAACCGTACGGCCGCACAATTTTTGGTTGCAATAACGACTCTGGCTCCCTGATAGTGACATGAAAGATTCTTGCCACGTGGCAACATTGTCCAGGGAGCCATTTATTGATTAGCCTTTTTTAGCTCACCGAGTCGCAGCTGCCACTGCCTTCCCCATGACCGCCGCTTTGATGGTTGCCGCAGCGGCGGAGGCGGTGGGAGCGTGGTCTTCGGCTTTGTAGAAGAAATGCCTGACGATGTTGGTGCCTGGCCCTGCCACCAGCTTCTCCCAGGTCTCCTCCGCTTCCTTGCCGTGCTTCAAGAACACTTCGGTGGCGTCGAGGCAGTGCATTTTCCCCCGCAGCAGCTCCTTCAGCCGATAAATTTTCTGCAACTGGCAACGGGCTAACGTGCAGGTGTTCACCTTGATCTCCTCGATCGCCTCCTCGAGGAGTATCGCCAGGATTTCTTCGTCCTTCAGTGCTGAAGCTTCTKCTCGGAGGAACCTGTCCATCTCCGGCACCCCGATGGCCCGCCTGATTCCTCGAGAATAGTCAGCTTCCGGTTCAAAGAACCTCCGCACCTCGTCAACCAACCCGGCCTCGACCATGCGGTCCACTCGCTTGGACACAGACGAGTGGAGCACAGGCAAGCACACGTCCACCCAGAGGAAGCAACACTCGTACCTCGACCGGAACTCAAGATCGTCGTTGACGAGCGCATGAATGTACGAGTTGGAGCCACCCACGATGATGGGAAGCCGGTCGCGACTCACGATCGACTCGATGGCGTGGGAAGCCGAGCGGCAGAAATCCAATGCTGTGAAGTCAGCGTCAGGATCCACCACTCCCAGCAGATGATGTGGGATGCCCCGCTGCTCCTCTTCAGTAACCTTGTTGGTGACGATATCCAGCCCCTCGTACACTTGCATTTTATCAGAATTCACAATCTCGGCAGGGAAGCGAGTGGCAAGGTCGATCGAGAGCTTCGATTTTCCGGTGCCCGTCGCTCCCATGACGAACACGACCTTGTCTTTCGGGCGGCGAACGGTGAACGACTCCATTCCCATTCCGCCGCCCGGAAAATTTAGAAAGGGAAGAGCTTGCTTACAGGCCATCGACATGAAAATCCTCATATTGGAATTCGAAAAAGAAGAAAAAAAAAAACTGTATGAAACTATGAATGTAAATGTAATCTCCCGGACGCGGCGAGCAGAGGAGAAATCAAAGAACCCGTACAGCTTCTGACGCTCACAGAGGAAAGCAAAAGCAAGAGATGTAGGAGGGAAAAGCTGGAAAAGCTGCTGTCTGAAAGCCGGGATGGAAATGAGTGCTCTGAAAATTGGGTCGAGTCTCTCTCTCTCTAACAAAAATAAATAAATAAATAACTTGATATCTCTGTCGGCACCACGTAAAGCTATGTGTGCATATGTATAATTTAAAAATATTGCAGCAACCACGCTTACTTGAGGACTGAGAGAACGAGGAAGGGAGAGAATTTCCCGGGGGAATTGAGGCGATGGAACTAAGTTGGAGTTTGAAGCGAGAAGCTGAGAACACGAGGTCTAAGTGGGATGGGAAGGGGGTATTTATATAGAACCTATCATATTTAAACARTCTATGATTAAGGAAAAATAGTTATCTCAAATTATAAAAATAGTCAAACCAAAAGTAGTTTGGATTCTTTTTCCTATATTAGTTTTTTTGGAGGGGTTTTGTTGAGGTGTGTGTGTTTATCCTCAATGGAACACATCAACAAGTTGCAAGAGCAAGTTGCCTCTAGGAAAGCTATGGATGCAGAGGTTCTCTCTAGTGGTTTATCTTTTATTTATGGAGGGAGAGGGGACAATTTGTAGGATGATATTTATTTTGGTTTAGTCTCATATTTAAAATACACACAAGTAATTAGATCTAATTAATTCCCTCCTTGGCTAAGTTTACTTATTTGAGTCGGTTTTTATGGCGACCATCCAAGCTTTCACTTTCCTATTTCTTCTCCATCCGTAATTTCTCCACTTTGCCCTTGGCTGGAGCCATTTGTCACCTTCTAGTTGGTGGTTGAGATGGTGTCTTATCAGAATTCTACTTTTTCATATTGAATGGGGCAGGGATAAAGACATGAACTCTCGCCCATGTTTTGCACAGAAATGCATTCATGCATGCATGAATGCTTGTTTTCATGCATGTTTTAGAGATCCAGAAATTTGACACATGGCAAAATAGTTTGGAGTTCAAAAGGAGTCTCCGTTAACATGGTATATTAATGAAAAAAAAGTTGGCACAAGACACTACACCAATGGATCGGTTCTATCCGATCGAATTGAATATTTACCGACTTTCGTTTCAAGATTTTGCCCCGATTACCCCTATAATAACATTTTGTTTGGAAAGGCTGAAGCTTGGATTGAGTTGCTTTCGCTGAGCTGCTTTGGAGATGATATAATTAATTAACCCATTTGAAAGGGCCTCCTCTGCATTGTTTGAGAAGCTATCAAAACTGCTAGCTTCACCAGAAAGTCAAGTTCTCGGCTAAATGACAGCTTGTGCATATGTTTTTGGCTTTTCGGGTTTTTCACCAAATACAACTTGCTAATTAAATTAATTTTCAAGTGGAGTAGCCTATCTTGCAACGCTAGAAGTCGCTATGAGAAAGCCCTTCCAAACAGGCATTAGAAAGAATTTTGACGAAAGACCTATTTTTCCGTTGAAAGATGGTAATTTCGGGTTTTTCACCAAACACAATTTTAAGATATCATGCATGATGAGTAGGGGTGTCAATTGGATTGGATTTGGTTCAATCCGATCCAGTCCAATGTGAATCCATTATAAATGGATCAGGTCCAATCCAATCCAATAAATGTTTTAGACCAATTTGGATCGGTCCAATTCATTGTCTGGACTATCCAATCTGTTCAAATTCATTTTGATTTAGATTGATTTCAACTGAAATCCGGCTCATTGACACATATATTCTTATCTTATATCAATGGATCAGATATTGGCCTAATCCGACCCAATCCAATATAAATTTGTTATAGATGGACTAGGTTCAATCCAATCTAATAAATATTTTATACCGGATTAATCCAATCCAATATATCTTATTAGACCATCCAATTTGTCCAAATTAATTTTAGACTGGACAGCCAATCCAAAACCGGTCCATTGACACTATTAATGATGATGCCCACCTTATAAATCCAAAAGCCGCCATGAGAAAGACCACCCACCCAAATGGGCACTAAAAACTAAAATTTTGAATGGCTACTATCTTCCTCAAGACACAACTAGTAGAACGGTAAATCATTCTTCATTAGTCATCATCAGTTACATATCCTACATAAAGAAAGTAATGTAATGGACAGAACTGTATTATGAAAATAAATAAGAATTCCCTCACTTACCTCTACCACAGCAATGTGTAAAACAAAATTTTCTTTTTTTTTTAACTAAAACAAACTTCCTACCCTATTTTTTAAGACAAATAAATCAAAATAGCAAAGTAACTACTTAGGGTCCATTTGGTTCAGAGCTGGAATCAGAATCGGAATTAAAATCGAATTTCTTCAAAATCAAAATCAGAATGGTCTAGTCCCAAAGTCTGTTTGGTTCAGACAAGAATGAAAATGAAAATTGAAATCAGTAGGAATGAGATTTCGTTTCCAAAGGAGAGGCAGGGAATGGTCATTCCCCCAAATGAGAGAATGCCATTCCAGCAAGAATGGGAATGGAATTCCAATTCCACCCAACCAATTAAACAATTGAAATCGAAATAGCTCATTCCAATTCCGATTACAGACCCCTATTCCTGCAAACCAAACGGGGCCTTAGTGTTTCAACACCAATCCAATATCATTAAGTCAATTTAGAAAATAAACCTCAAACCCATTGAAATAATTAATTCTAATAATGAAATTAGCTCAAGAAAACATTAAAAAATGGATGTCATTTTCTTGCATTTTGGAATTATGTCACAGGCATAACCCTGAATTTTCTGCAATATTCCTAAGGGTAAATGGAATTTTACAATTTTAACCTTAGAATAGTATCTTTCCCTTATTTCTATTGTTACATTTTTCATATAACAGTTTTGGATTTTATGTTGTTTTACACTTGGGATGTGTTTTTGTTTGAAAATAAATGAGAATTACAGAAATGCCATCCCCATAATATAATGTGTTTAATGAACTTCAGAACGCATTTATATTCTTATGTTGCAATAATTGGTACTCTGGGTGTTCCTGACTTGGCTACCATATGCTACATGATCATGTTGCAATAAACGATCAAGACCAACCACTAATTAAAATGGGTCCTACCTAATAGCTTTTAGGGATCAAAATTCAAGTTGATGGGTTTGACTACATCTGATGAATACACTACTGCCATCATGTGGACAGTGGAAAATAATTTGAAACACCCATGATTATATTCAATGTTATTTACTGCAACTGGTCTAAGTTTCTCAAATATTTTTAGAGAAACTTGGAGTACAAACAAAGAAAATAGCAATCTAAGCAGGTCATGTTCCTTAGAAAATTAAGGATCTTCTCATCTATATGTTTGACTCATAAATTGTTTTCCTTTGAATCCCTAATTTATGTCACCAAATGCAAATTGTCCAAGGTTAAGTAGTGAAGAAAAAAATTATAAATTCTGGATGTCTCATGCCTTGTCTACCACCTTCTTCTCTTGGGACAGGGAGGACTCAAAAAAAGTAAAAGAAAAAAAAAAAGCTCTTGTTTATAATATGACTCTTCTTGATTAGTTTCTTAATCTAAACTAGGAATAATATGTAGGTGGAAGGTGTCAACTCTCAACACCTTGAATTAATTTTAGACCTTAATAAATCAACCTATATTAGCCTCCTTTTGAAATCTATTGGCCCATGGTCTTAAAAATTACCCTCCTCCAATATTGCTAGATGAATAGAATTAAAAAAAAAAGAAGAAGAAAAATAGCAAGAAGAGGAGATTTTATGCAACTCATCCAGTTACTTTCAAGCCTCAAAACCCTTGGAGGTTTAATCACCCATCTATTTCTTTTAATTTCCTCACACAATATTAGCTTCTCCGATGTAACTCTATGGCCAAAAGTATAATTGCTTTCAATCTTTCTACTTTTTAGATGATTTTTGGTTGTTTTTCAAATTCATTGAAGCCTTTTCCATCTGAAATCAGCTTTACTGCTCACAAGACCATGTTCACACCATTCGTACAGTCTTTTGCAGCTTTTTAGTGAGAATATCTCTCCATGACAAAAAAAAAAACATATAAGTACGGAAATATTTTCAATGCCCGGCGAAAAAGGCTATGCAAATGGTGTGAGCACAGTCTTGTGAGAACTGAAGTCGATCTCTTCCATCTTCTCCCACTTTCACTTTTCCTTTTCTTATGGTCATAAGGAAAGTCTTAAAGAAAAAAAAAAAAAATCATAAAGAGCCCAAGTTAGCTATAGGGCTATTTTGTTGTCCGGCAACTGCATAAGTGCCATATACAGAATATGCTTATCATGCCATAAGATTGTCTGACTTCTGGCCTAAGCCTTAACTATCTGTAAGCCTTTTCTTAGGCTATTTTATCTTAGATTCCTAGAACCAGAAAGCATGGCCTGAGTTTGTGGTGAATAGATAACCTCTTTTGATGGAGGTACGGGGTGTATTCCCCTCTGGTGAATGAAACCCTTACATTATGAATCTAATTGTTCTATTACCTTTTTTTTTAGGACATCAAAGTCAAATATTATCAAAATGCTTTAATTGGGAGACCATCACTTTCATTTAGTTTTCTTCCATTAATGCAGAATGACTACTGAATTCTCCCTTTTTGATGTCAAGTGTTTTTGTCTCGCAAATGGAAAATAGGTATAATCATGAGTTAAAAGGAAATTCTTTCATTAACAGCAACCTATTAGCTATGTAATTTCTTCTGCAGGTCCCTTCGACTTTATTGCAATTACAGATGGAAGTTTAAGGAGGTGATTCAAATAAAGTTAGTGAACTTGTAGGACTCATTAGGCTGCGTTTGGAAATGATGCAAATAGAGTGTAAATTCTGGTTAAGGGTAAATTTGCAATCTGGTTCATTTTTTCCTGTATTTGGCAACATTATATTTATGCATTGACAAATGATAGATCAATGCATATTTACATTGATAATAAGATGTAAAAATACATCAATAAAAAAAAGGCATATGCTTTATTGGAATTCATGTTTGCATCCATTATAGCTAAAAGTCTGTTTGATAAGAAGGTAAACTTGTCAGTGTAAAACTAACCCAATTTTGCCATTAATATGAACTGTTTTTACACTCTACATATTTGTATTCACACTTATTTGCATCATTTTCAAATGCAACCTTAGTCAAATTTGACATAATAATCGGCCCTACAAGTAAAAACAGGGGTGTAATCGAGCCAAATCAAGTATTGAATACTCGAATTTGATACAACTCAAAAACTTAGAGCTTGAAACTTGATTCGAGCTCGATCGATTTTCGAGTCATCTACTTAAACTCAACTGGACTTGATATTTGTGAGTTATACATGCTTGGATTGAGTATAAATAAATTTATAT